GCATGGTATCTATCGGCCTGAGCTGCTGGTGTTTAACCAGATATGATGGATATGCGATAGGTTTCGACATTGCCGGAGAGAAAACCGATAAAGTTATCGTAAGAACTCCACTTCCACTGAGCCCAGGGTTTCCTACCCAAGAGCCCCAATGCAGAATCTTAGATTGGGAGGGTCATGTCTCCATTGCAAGAGTTGACACAGGCATGAAACTGCAGGTTTGGGTTCTAAATCAAGGAAACATATGGCAAGAAGTGCTCAATTTGGATCTAAGTGGGGTTGAGAACAATTGGGTACTCAATCGTAGTCCCAAGCCCTACGGTCCAGCACTTTTGCTAGGGCACATGCTTGTCCTTCATTTATTTGATAGGTTGATGATATTCGACATGAGAAGTGGGGGTTTGTTCGGATTAATTAACGGGAATGGATATTTGGATCACAATTACTTGCCTTTCAAGCCTACACTATTTTCATGGGACTATGGACTCAAGATCAAAACAGTGGGTTCTTTAGAGGGGTCGGATTTCTTTTCAAGTTGCTTCTATGGTGATCCCTCTCATCTCTGAATGTCCTGAGTTTTCTAAGTTGCCATTGTGTTTGATGTGGTAATAAAATGTTTGTCATGAGAAGGGTTATTGTTTTCTTGTTTGGATAAAGCCATCCCAAAATATTTTGTATCCTAGTTTGTTGCTCTCTTCTTTTTAGTGATGGTTTTAGGGTTTCATTCTCTTTTTCTTGTTTTTGTATCAGTGGCAGGAATCACCATGGGATACCCAATTCTTCTTTTCGGAAAAAATTCATTTTAGAAATCGCCGATAACATAGAGCTGGTCGGTGGGGAATTCTGGTTCCCTAGTTTTCAATTTTTGTTTTCCGATGATGTCTGTTCCGACTTGAGAGTCGCTAGAATTGGACCGAGTGGATTGGGATTGGGATTGGAATTGGTTCCCTAGCTACTTAGGGCCGATTTCGTTTTTTAAATCTCCAAATAGCAAGAACCCATTCGTACCTAGATTCACTCTTTAATAAGAAGGATAGGGCACTTTTATTCATCTAATGGTTTCTATGATCAAATCAATTGAAACTTGAAATAGAAGGTTATGATTGCATCAAAATGATAGGAAAATGGATATAACATGAAGTTTAGTATATCTAGTACAGATTTATTTTCTTACAGTGGAACATTAAAAATAACTGTTTATACTCAACTCCAAGAAGGCAAATTAGGAATCTACCTGCTTTGGGTGAAAATTTGCCTAAACTTAAGTCGAAAGATCAGGTTCTAGCTAAAAGATGATTTAAAATTCAGTGGTTTATAGCCTTTTTTTTTTTTCGTAAACCATCAAACAAAAGGAATAAAATAAATTTCTCTTAAAATCAAGATCTAAAAACTAATAGAAAAATGAAATACAAGAAAAAAATTTAAAGCTTACCAAACCATGCTTGATACCCAGAGTTGGGGCTTGGATCACTCCTAATCCAAATTGGATTCTATTAAGTCCCGTCCTACATCCGGCTCCAATGCAGACGTACTCACAAATACCTTGGAAGTCTTTTTTTATTTTTTTCCAATTATGAGGATAAATTGAATAGAATAATAAAAATAAAAAATAAAGGCCCAAATGGAGTCTGTATCTACTGCCGGAGTCCGTTTTGACGTCAACTCATAGAGCGTTGAGGGGACTAAACTAGAATTATGTGAACAAATATTATTTTGCTCATAACCTTCAAAACATATATTGGATATGATTAATTCTTAGACCATTAAAAAGCTTATGATCTACTCTACAATTCAAATAAAATTTGACCCAATTTGGGTGAATTTTGAGGTTGTTATAGTATTTGGACTCTAAAAGGTTAGTTTCAAGGCGGGTTTTTGGCTACTAGGTTGGTGTATAGGGTAGTATTTTGAGTCTGTTGGGCTTAAAAGGGTTTGTATTGACTCGGAAAAGGGTATACTAGGTTAAGTTCTTGAGACCCTGAAAACTCAAAACGGCCAAAATGGGATGTCTACAATAATATTGGGGAAGACTCACATATGCACCAATTTCCATAGAATCCCTCATATGTCATCCTCAATTTGACCATCCAACATGATCTGTTTGACCAAAAAATTGTTATGGTCTTAAAAATACTAGACAAGTAAATTTTATTTTTAAACTATTATTAACACATCTAAACCCTTAGATCTAACAATGCAACAAAACAAATAGCAGAAAACAACCCAATTTTATCTCATCAGAAAACTATTATTTAAGTTTTTTTTTTTAAAAAATTTTTTTTTTATGTTTTGTAGGCATGTTTGCTAGGGCAAAAGGAGATGTATGCTTAAAAAAAACAAAAAAAGAGGTTAGACAAATACCCCTAATACCAATGTAACCTTTTTCCCATAAGGTTTAATTGCACGCATTCACCCACATATGGGTAAGTTCCATTGTTTCATTTTTTTTAATTATAAAATTTTTGTTTAAAACAATGGCTCACAAATTTACATAAGGGACTAAAATAACCAAAATAGGACCCTAATAAATAAGGTATATAATCATGCAGGCCCTAAACCAAAGTGAGTACATCTATGAAAATTTTAATAATACTCCTTAGGGAAAGGTTTCTATATTTCTCTTACTATATAGAAGATATATATTTTCCCCCATCCAAAAGTCTAATTTAGATCAAGTGAATCACTAACTGTTTGATCTAGATCTGATGCTTCATAGTTTTTTATTTTTAGTTTTTTTTTCTACACGTCATATGAGTATGAAATTTATTGCCATCATCTCAATGGGGCGCATCTAAAATAAATATTAAGAAGACATTTTTAGTAAAATACAATGACCAAAATACCACTAAAACATTCAGGGGTATTTTTTGTCATCTTATTTTATTGGGAATATTCGTTTTACATTTTTTACAAGTGCGAGTGTAAGAGAGGAGTGGACACACAAAATTGTATCAAAATGTTTCGTATAAAAAAAATTAAAAATAAAATAACATAGATGTGTGATATTGTGTTTGCGGCTATCCCAGCTTTCCATTCAGATTGGACGGTTACATAGGGGGAAGTATATAAGTTTTATATAGTAGGGAAAATATATAAAGCTTTTATTAAAATTATGAAATTTCTCTTTTGAAATTTCATAAGGCACAAGATTTTAGAAAAGTAACTCCTTAATGTTCAAAATATTATGGGATAAACCCTTTATTAAATTTTTTACAAAAGTGCCAAGTTAAGGTGGTACAAAATAAAAGTAAAAATATATTTTTTATCTTTTATATGAATTTTTATTGTTTAAAATAATTTATGCTAATTTACTATAAGGTATTTGGGAAAAAACTAATCTCTGCACTATGTAGTCCTAATCAATGATTTCTTGCATTTATGGGATTCAAATAACTTATTTTTTTTTGGATTTTGTTTATTTTATTTATTTTTGGTAAAAATGTAATAAATATACAATCTTTCAAATTTATTCTGTTAACCATATTCTATTTATATAATTTTTTGAAATTTTAAGTAAGGTATTTAAATTATTCGATATTATGAAATATGTCATGCAATTAATCTTTATAAAATGTAGATACGAAAATCTTGAATTAATATACAGTACATGCTTATGCATTTCACAGGCCCATGTATTAGTGCCTTTTGTCAATTTTACAATACAAGTGCTAAGGTTTTATCTAAGAAAATTTAGCAAAACATCCATAAGCGATAACCATTCAACATTTTACTCATTTGCAACAATTCCAACTTAGGGCAGTTGAATGGTGTTTGGTAGAACTCCCAATTCTGTTGTTATGGCAGAAGGTTGTCCTTTTGAGTTCTACCTCTTTACACTTTACTAATAAGTCTTTTCACTTTTCTAATAAGTTTCTTATGCATTTATTAAAAACTTCAAAATTAGTAAGGAAAAACTCTCTCATCACAATTTTACAACTTGACCAGATCAATTGAGGCATGGGGCATTGACAAATTCGCACTAAATGCTACAGGAATTATCCGAGTACAAGAGGCATATCTCTCTTTGTTCTATTTTACAGTTTTACAAAGAATTCTTATTAATGAAACATCATACACTTCTTAAGCTAGCTTCCGAAGTGGCATAGATGTTAACTGTGCTCAATTTGTCATTACTTCCTTTCATTTATTTTTAGTTTTATTTAAGGGATAAATAGTATGTTCTGGCGTTTTGTTTCGCTTTCTAAGGAAAAAGAAAAGATAAAAACATGCCACAAATTCTTCCCTTTATGAGATTTCTATTAAATTTCTGGGGTATATCCTTCTGGAGCATCAAATGGGGATTCATGAGTTACATTCTCAAAAGAGAAAACCTTTGATTTTCCAGAGCTTAGAAGGGGATCAGGACAATTGAATAGGAAAGCAAAGAAAATACAGTGTACACCTTGTCATTCTATCGCTCTATTGTCCCCCTTGTGGATGTATGATTTCTCTCTCTCTCTCGAGATGCATTAAGAGCTAAGCTCTAAATTAGCTCGAGCCTCCGTTAGCTGTTCATTGCTTAAGCCCTCAAGTTTGTAATACTCTAACCCCCTCCCCATGTGTTTACATCCTCTCTTATTGAAGCTTTGAGATAATCATGATAACCAGCCTGGAGTCGGGAAAGATATGTAGCACCCTGTACTTCCTAGAGTTTCATACTCCTACTTAGAGGGGAGTCCATGGGCTCAACAGGGGTCTGCCAGATTCGAACATGTTCGGGTTTTTTCGAGCCTGAGACTTTGGAGCGCCGCAATGTTCACAAGGTTAATCTCCTGGTATCTCCAGATGTGAGAAATATTCTTGAAACCCATGAAGAGTTTCAGACACAAGACTACGGGCATCTGTTCATGGTTGAATCGTTATCGGCTCTCACGCGTTGATACATGCTAGAGAGCCTTCTCAAGCGAGATGGTCAAAGGGCCTTATTAGATTTTATGGTAAGCAAAGTTCTAGGAAGAATTTTGGGTTATGAGAATTAACAAAGAGAGCACTTATATCAAGATTTAAAATTCATGAATACATCCGGTATATACTCATACAGGTTTCAGCCACAACTTCACATGGGGGAACCTGCTATCTTCCGTAGAAGTGATGGCACTTGTTCGAAGTATGACAAGTGCATCGAGTATTTCCTCCTGGTTTTCAGCGGCAATTTTGAGTAGTCCCTTGCTACTCTGTTGGAGGTTCAGGTGACCAATTAAACTGATGTCCATCATCTGTTCACCTGATTTTGTGGCCAAAAACGAAGTGAATACATGGTGGATACATCGATGACGATTACGGTAAATGTTCGCAAAAATATAAGGGCATATGTTAAAAAGAAAAAGTTTAAGGTTGCAACCTTATACAGTAAAAAAAAAGGTGCACTAAAACATTTGGTCGAAAAGAGTGTTCTAAAGTTGGAAAGCCTTCTAATTGATCTCGACTTCAAGATGTATGAATATATATAGATAAAAAAATAAAAATTTCAAGTCCAAAAAATAGTGCATCTTGTTGCAAGTTATCTGGACTATCTATTTCAATATTTTCAAGTATTCATAGATCTGCTTGATTAATACCAGAATTTTTAACTTTATAACTATGGTCCAAAACAAATTTTCAAGTTATCATAAGGTTTTTGAAGCACAACAGGAAGTAACTCTATTTTGGATAACTAAGTACTGAATAAATACTACAAATATATCTAACAGGGCAGGGCACCTCCATTTTCGCAGGGATGCTGTCTTAGTTTTCCTTCTACCATATAGGCCTTCTTACACGTAACATCTTCAACAACTCAAAACATCCGAATCAATGAACTGAACATACAATTACACTTCAGTTGTCTTCAAAACACCTCAACGGTCCTCAATACCAGAGGCTTCTCCATGTTTACTATGCCTTCCAGTAATCGTACAATTACCCTTCAGTTGTCTTCAAACACCTCTAAGGGTCCGCCTTCCAGTAATCATACAATTACCCTTCAGTTGTCTTCAAACACCTCAAGGGTCTTCAATACCAGAGGCTTCTCCACGTTTACTACACCTTCGAGGAACCAGACGACCTGTTCCATGGACGGCCTACAACCCTCCCCCTCTTGCACACACCAACCTGCCACCCTACAAGCACGAGCCACCTCCTCCACATCGGCGACACCCTTAAGCCTAGGGTCCAACATTCCCAGGTCCTTTCCATCCATCATTTGCACCAACACTTCAGCAGGGAAGAAGAAACCCCTTTCCCAATCTGCATTTCTCCTACCTGAGATGAGTTCTAACAATGTCATACCATAACTATATACATCTGCTTTGACAGTTATGGCCTTACCAGAAAGCCACTCTGGTGCTAGATACCCTTTGCTTCCCCTCATGGTAGTTAAAACACGACTGAATTCCCGACTCATTAGCTTTGCTAACCCAAAATCCGTCAACTTTGGGCTGAAGTCATGGTCCAAGAGTATGTTTTCCGGCTTGATGTCACAATGCATTATGCGGTCTTTGCACTTTCCATGTAAATAAGCAATCCCTCTAGCGATTCCAAGTGCGATATTGTATCTTATTTTCCAGCTCAAACAGTCAGCACCTTCTTGAAATAAATGAAAATTCAAGGAACTATTGGACATATATTCATACACCAATAATCTCCTAGATCCTTGTGAGCAGAATCCTCGTAGTTGGATCAAGTTGATGTGTTGTATTGTTCCGATGGTGGACACCTCTGCTCTGAATTGCTTCTCTCCTTGACTATGTCCCTCTAGCTTCTTAATGGCAACATGCGTCCCATCACTCAGATAGCCTATAAACACTGAACCAAAACTCCCACCTCCAATTTTCTGCGAGAAGTTCTTAGTTGCACTTTTCAAATCTTTGTAATTGAATATCATTAGTGACCCGTCCATCTCGGTCCTTCTTGGAGCAAGTTTCATCCACAGAGTCCAAAGAATAACACCCACGATGATTAACAAGCCTGTAACAGAGCACACAGCTATGATCTTTAGTAATTTTTTGTTCTCGTTTCTACTAGAATTAGGAAACAGATCAGAAGAAGCAGCACGAATGTAAAGCTTGTATGTTGTCTCCTCTTCTTTTAGATTCGGAATATCTCCAGTATATGTGTAGCAAGTGTCACTGCCAGAATTCTGTGCATAAGCAGTGCAAGAACAGTTTGCCAAACACCAAGCCTCACAATCTTTGGTATCCACAACTGTCGATGGAATCGATTTTTCCCATACTTCTGTTGTATTAATTGGCCAAAACCCATCTCTCTCGCCATTGCGGAAGCCACACTGCGACTTGGTCTTTCTAACACACCCTCCAGACCACTCGCCCAAATTCCATTTATGAAGAAACTTGGGTTCAAAACCAGGGATGCAGCTGCAAAAGGGTAATTTTTGGCTGCAGCTTGCGAAGGGTCCACAAATGGCATAGATATCACAGGGGTCTCTAGGCAGTGACCCAAATAGGTTCCACGTTTGTTTCTGCTCATTCAACAAATACTGCCGGATCAGCCCAGTTACATCCATCACAAACCGTGCGATGGTGGTATTATCATAGCAGGAGTAATTATAGTAGCTCTCATTCTCGTTATCAATGAAGCTGAAATTGTAAATGTAATTCAATCTCATCTCTGGGACTGCACTGAAGATGTGCCCATCCCACTCCCCAGAACTCCAATACCTTTTGCTTCCATTCCAATATGCAAGATACTGTTTAGTTCCATTCGGGTCGAGTTCGAGGGAGAAGAGCCCAGGTGATGGGTCCTCTGAATTCCTCCAAGATTTGAGCAATTGGTTTTGCCTAGTCTTCTTGTTCAATCCCATCTTTCCTCCTGGTAACCATGTATCCGTGGGATGATCAAAACTCTGCCACATAACTCTTGAAGATCCAGCCTCCTTTAGAACCAGATTCCCATTGTCTAATAAAACAGCAGAGGAGGAACTTGCAGCTCCAGATGTGGAACTCAAATCGGTGGACCAAATTGGGACTTGGGTTTTGTTCAAGAGGACTAAGTTTCCATTCCCTGAAATTTTGAGTTCAGATGAGGTGTCCGGCAATGGTGTTTCACGGTTAGCTACCCATACAACAGTTTGGACATGAATTTCTTTGTACCAGATGCCTATATACCAGGATTGCAACTTATCTGGGCTGAAATAACCCAGTTCAAAGACACCACCTTTAGAGACTACGGTTTGGTTTCCTTTAAGAGATTTGTCTATAGAGATGGTATCTAAAGCAAAGCCAGAGCAAGAACCAGAACCAGAACCAGAACCAGAACCCGAACCAGAAACAGAAAGAGAAATCGCTAACAGTGATAAAATAACAGGAAAGAAACCAACCTGGAATTTGCAACCCATTGCACCTGGTTTTCACAGGCACCCACTTTAGAATGGAGGTTTAGTTGATAGTTAGCAATGCATAAAATGAAACTCAAAAGTGAGAAGGTTTGCAAGGGTGAAGACTTTCTTGAAAGTCTTCATGCTGGGTTCTGTAGATTGAGATGCACAGGGATTGCTGAAAAGGAATTTGTGATTGCTTTTTATGAATATGTGGACTCAATGGGTGTGGAATTTAGAGAGAGAGAGAGAGAGAGGAAAATTCCACACTTGAATTTCAAGCATGGGACCACGACCGTAGAATTGAACCTTGAAACTAAAGACTGTAACGCTATGCAAAATTTGAATGAACTGGTGTGATTGGAGGGCTTGATAAGAGTCATCTCCCACCTTAGCATACGCTATAGGGGCCGGGCCCTCTGGATCCGTGAAAGCCGAGCAAAAGAGCAGGACGATTTTGATCACCAGCGTAAATTTATTTGGATATTTTGTTTTGGGTGCAATTTGGCATGCCGATGCATCCGTAGCTGTAGAGGTAAGGTGCACCTTCAAATTTTATCATGGTGTATAATTTTGATGTAAAATGTTCTTAGGATTATCTCAAAATCTATTTTTACATCTAATTATAAAAATTTAAATTTAAAAAATAATTCAAATAAAGTAGATTTATAAGCACATGAAAATCTTGAAAATGGACGGTGTAGATAATATGTTGTAAAATGTACTATTTTTGAGACTTCAAATCTTTTTATTTTTTATGGTCATCTATCTCGATGTCGAGATAATCAATCAAAGGATTTTCCAACATTAAAACTACCTTTTCCGACATTATAAGGTTTTTAGTTAGTTTTCAATAAAGGTAAATGGGTGTGGTTTTTATAGAGCGGAGGCTCTAAACAATCAAAGTAAAGCGTACCTTCAATAGTATCTAGAAATGTGGTTTTAATACTGAAAATCTTTGTGATTGCCATAAAATATATTTTTATATCTAATTATAAAATTTAAAGCTTAAAAAATAGTGTAGATCAAGCATACCTATGAGAACTTGAAAATCTTGAAAATTGACGATCCAAAAATGCATTACAAGATGTAGTATTTTCAAAACTTAAAATCATCTTGATTCCATGCATCTTGAGGTCGAGATGATCAACTTGAGGATATTTGAGCATTAAAAAGACCTCTTCTCGAGAAATTTTTGAGGTGTACCTCATTTAATTGTTTAGAGCCTCACACTTATATAAGTTTTTTTCTTTATCCGATGGACTAGCTTTTTATGTACTGACCAAGGGTTCAAGCGTTCTATGCTTCCCATATAACAATAACACTGATATATTTCTCTTTTTTCAACCGTCCATTATGAATTGAGGGTTAATATTGTCCCAATCATAATGTCATGTCTCTACACTATTTTATTATTAAGTTTTTATATAAAATATTGTGACACTAAATTTTGAGCGTCCACTCCTTTATTAAACTCACACTTGTAAGAAATATAAAAAAACATATTCGTGATAAACAAAATAACCAAAATACCCCTAAAAGATTCAAGGGATATTTTGGTCATTATATTTTATCAAAAAATTATTTTTAGTATTTTTTATAGGTGCGCCCTAATGAGAATATGCCACGTACCAAATTTCATATTCATACAATCTGTATAAAATAATTTAAAATAAAATACTCTGGGGCGTCGGCTCTAGGAGCCAACGATGAGTGGCTCACTTGATCAAAATTGAACAGTTGGATAGTAGGGGAAACATAGACCTTCTATATTGTTGGGGAAGTACAAAAACATTTCCCTTATATACTAACCTTCTTGTATAAAATTTATATACTTCCTCCTATCCCTCTATTCATTCTGAAGGGATTGTTGAAAAGGCTCAAATTAAAATGTCACCCTTCAATACTATTCTACACATTTTGACATAAAATTTTGGGTGTCCACTCCTCTCTTAAACTCCCATCTGTAAAAAAAATATAAAAATAATATTTTCAATAAAATAAAATATCCAAAGTTCTCTTGAAAGTTTTACGGAATATATTTTATCAAAAATAAACTTCTAATATTGTTTTAGGTGTATCCCCATTAAGATGATGATCCGTATCAAATTTCATATTCATATAATTATAAATAATAATAAAAAAAAATACTCTGAGACGTTAGATCTAGATGAAACGATTAGTGCCTCGCTTGATATTGGATGGATGAATGATAGGAAAGCATATATCTTTACGATTGGGAAAAATATAGAAACCCTTCCCTTATCCCAATAGCTATATATTAATGGGCGTCTCAGTAGTCCCTTACAAAGTCATTGTACAGACGTCTCTTGTGAGACCATGGGCGAGTAGAGCCTTTAAAGGTATTTGGGCTATCGCGTAACATAGGGATGGCCTGTAAGTAGCTTATCACGTGCAGTTGCAGATCTCCTTTCCCACTTAATATGTTACGGATGTCCAGGAATACAAAGTCTAGCGACGTTAAATTATATTTTAAAAAAAATAGACAAATTAAAATGTAGGTTCAAAAGGACATAGTTGGAAGTAATGAGAAAATACATAAAACTTATAACTTTATTAAGGATATAGTTCATTGAATATGTTACAGAAATCCAGTAATACAAATTACATTTAAAAAAAAGACATATAAAACAAAAGGTAGGTTCAAGACAATATGGTTGAAAGTAGTGAGAAAATATATAGAACTTATAACCTCATTAAGGGTACAGTCCAGTGTTCACAATATTGACCGGTTCAACTCAAAACTGACAGGTTAGATTGGCACTAGGCACTGATCGGTTTCGGTTTTGGTGATCCAGCTAGATATTTTTAAAAATTCAAAAAAAATCCCAAAAAAATAAGGGAGTTGTTTGTAATGTGTTTTGAATTTATTTATTTTTACATCATTTTGGCAAAGATTGGAAAGTGTTTTGGCCATGAATACTTATTATATATTTTTTTTTTCTTTTTAAAATTTTAAAAATACTCCTTGGCATAAATAAAAAATTTAAAATCCATTAATTAATTTTCAATTTCAATTGGATTTACTTTGTTTAATCATATTTTAAATATACTTTAAATATTTTTCATATTTTTTTTTAATTTTTTATTTTTTTTAACAATTTTTTGACCCGTTGGGATTTGCTCAGTAATGCCAGTTGAATCGATCAGTTTACCAGTTACTCATAGCCCTTAATAGAACCAATGTTATCATATTCGCTTCAGATTCTTTTTCAATTTGGTGAGAAAAATGAAGCAATTCGGTGTTTCTGTAGATTCGGTGGAAGATTTTGGATTTTTTTTTAAAAAAAAAATTAATATAAATAAATTAGATACTTTTATTTATATATATATATATATATATATATTTAAATAATTTTCTATAGATATTTCTTTTTTTAAGCCGAAGAGGCCGAAGCTTTGGCCGAATCATCCCGATGCAGACCTAAATCTAACTGAAGCAGCCCAAAACGGATTAAATCTAACAGAAGCAGTAGCACCAGACTTTGCTTCGCTTCAGTCTAGACCTAAAATCCGAAGGCTTCAGCGTCTCCGGTTGAAACGAAGTGAATTTGACAATATGAAATAGAATAAAATGATGAACTAAAATTTGTGTACCTGACCAAAAAACTTTGACGATGATGATAGGAATGATAAGGAGAGAAGAGGAGAGGTTTGTTTTAGTTGGGTAATAGACGTTAATCTTAGGATAAGGTTTACTCCCATTTGATTTATCTCATTGCAAGTTACGTACGGGAGGCGGCATTAGCGTGAGACGTAGTCTTTTATGCCGCTCTTAATTACTCAGGCGAGTAAACTCGGCCTTGCACACTGGCGACCCCAGTATCTTTGAGTTGGGTTAGTCCAATTTGGGATCTTAAAAAAAGTTAAAAATATTATAAAAATTTAGAAAAAGAAGAATTTTTTTAGCAATATGATTTTTTATGTTTTTTGTTATTTTGGCAAAAATTAGAAAGTGTTTTGGCTATAAATACGTATTTTTATATTTTTTCTTTTTAGATTATTTCTAAAATTCCTCCGTCACAAATTGATTCTTAAAAATCTATTTTCGAATACTTTTTTAACCTCATTTGGGTGTGTTTAGTTTAATTTTCGTTGTACTTTTTAAACATATTTTTTTTTTATTTTATTTTATAAGCACTTTTGGGTTTGGCCAGAACTCTGCCCAACTCGAGCCAAGGTACTCCGACTAAGACCGAGTATTCGGCTTACTGAGACTCCGAGCTAAGTTCTCAGCCCGAGTTGATCCTTCCAACACTGCTTTTAAGGAGGCAAGATTGTTGGTCGGCAGGAGGCCTGACATGCATGCGCCATTTGGGCGTCCACTCCTCTCTTAAACTCCCACCGGTAAAAAATATAAAAAAAATATTTCAATAAAATAAAATATCAATAATTTTTCTGAAAGTTTAGGGGGCTATATTTTATCAAAAATAAACTTTTAATATTTGTTTTAAGTGCGTCCCCATTAAGATGATGACACGTACCAAATTTCATATTCATATAATTTGTAGAAAAAAAATCAAACAGCCAATACTTCGCTTGATCTAAATTGGATGGCTGAATGGGGGGTAAGTATATAGCTTTACAATAGGGGAAATATAGAAACCATTCCCTTATCCCATTAGCTATATATATAGGCTTCTGGGTAGTCCCTTACAAAATCATTGTAAGGGGTAATGACGTCTCTTGTGAGACTATGGGCGAATAGAACCTTTAAAGGTATTGGTCTATCGTGTAACATAGGGACAGTGAGTAGATAGCTTGTCGCATGCAGTTGTGGGTCGCCTTTCTCATTGAATCTATTACAAAAATCTGGTAAAACAAAGCTTGACGACGTGAAACCACATTTAAAAAATATATATACAAAACAAAAGGTAGGCTCAAGAGGATATGATTGGAAGTAATGTGAAACACTTAAGGACATGATTGTATAGCCCTTAATCGAACCAATGTCATCAGATTCGCTTCGGTGTCTTTTTCGGTTTGATGAGAAAAATGAAGCAATTCGGTGTTTAGGGGAAGGCTTTGGACAAATTAATATAAAAAAAATAGATATTTTTATACTAAAATATATAAAAACTGAAAAGTTAATTTCTTTGTTTTAAAAAAATACTTTTGTATAGATATTTCTTTTCTTAGGTCAAAGAGGCTGAAGCTTTGACCGAATCGTCCCGATGCATACCTGAATCTGACCGAAGCGGCCCAAAACGAACCGAATCAAACTAAAGTGGTAGTACCAGACTTTGCTTCGCTTCAGTCTGGGCTTAAAATCCGAAGGCTTCAACCTCTTCAACTGAAGTGAAGTGAATTTGACAACACTAAATAGAATAAAATGATGAACTGGAATTCATGTAGCAGACTCAAAAGTTTTGATGATGATGATAGGCAGAATAAGGAGAGAATAGGAGAGGTTTGTTTTAGTTGGGCCATCGACGTTAATCTTAGGATAAGGTTTACTTCTATTTGATTTATCTCAATTGCAAGCTATATATGGGAGGCGGCATTAGCGTGAGACATAGCCTCTCATGCGCTTCATAATTACTCGGGCGAGTAAACTCAGCCTCCCCACACTGGCGACGCCGAGTATCTCTGAGTTGGGTAGTCCAATTTGGGATCTTAAAAAAATTTAAAAACATTATCAAAATAGAGAAAAACAAGAAATTTTATTGTATTATGGATTTTTATGTTTTCTATCATTTTGGCAAAGATTATAAAGTAGTTTGGCTATGAATATTTATATTTATATATATTTTTTAAATTATTTTTAAAATTCTTCCGTCACAAATTGATTCTTAAAAATCCACTTTTCAATACCTTTTTCAACGTTATTTAGCTGTGTTTAGTTTAATTTTAGTTTTACTTTTTAAACATATTTTTCGTCATTTTTATTTTTTTTTATTTTATAAACATTTTTGGTTTTGGCCAGAACTCGGCCCAACCCAAGTCGAGTTACTCAAGACTGCTGTCAAGTACTCGGCTTACTCAAATACCGAGCTGAGTGCTCGGCCCGAGTTGATCCTTCCAACAATGCTTTTAAGGAGGCATTAAAGTTGAGACGTGAAGGTCATAGGTAGGCAGAACGTTTGATAGGCATGTGTCCTTTGACGAGAGGGTGGATGATGTTTTTATACTATTTTTAATTAGAGTAATGATCATGTAAGACATTTCCACGTCCATGTCTATAAGATATCAAATGATCACCATTAAATTTGGCATAGATATCTAGAAAAGTTAAGTCCCATTGTGATAACTTTTTTAGAGAACCGTATCAAATTTAATGGTGATCTTTTAAGGTCCTACACACATGTGTGTGGGAGGGTCTTATAGGATAATTACTCTTTTAATTAATAAAACTTTTTATTCTTTCTCAATATTTGGCGAGCGCGGGCACGCGTAATTTTTGTTGTATTTACGATTTTATTTTGTGTTTTTCATGTGTCTCAATATGGCTAATATCAACCATTATATTTTCAATTTATTTTGTCAATAAGAATGAAAACCACAACGTAATGACTAGGGTGCTGCCACCACGATCCCAACTATACCTTGTCATTCTATCTCTTTGTTAAGTTTGTGCGACACTCTCTATTTCCTAGAGTTTCATGCTCTTACTTGGGTTAGACAGGAGCCTGCTAGATTTCAACCTGTTTTGGAACATGAGAATTGGGAGCACCATCATGTTCACTAGGTTTATCTGATAGTGATAGTATATCCGGATATGAGAAATATTATGCAAACCTATGTCAGACAGTTGTCGAGCGAGATGGTCGAATGGTCTCATTAGATTTTATACTCAGCATAGTTTCTAGGGGGAAATTTGGGTTTTGAGAATAAACAAAGAGAGCACTGATATTAGGAGTAACGAGTATATCCAGTTTATTCTCATGCAGCTTTCAGCCACAATTTCAAACAGGGTGACATGCTATTCTCTGTAGAAGTGTTGGGAACTTGCTAAAGGGGTGACGAGCACATCCGTTTTAGCCTCGTGGTTTTCGGTGGCAATTTTGAGTATAGTCCCTTGTATTCTGTAGGAGGTTTGAGGTAATCAACTACTACTTCCACCATCTCTTCACCTGATTTTCTAGCTGAAAACTATGTGAATATGTGGTGGTTATTAATAGAAACAATATCCAATTCCAGTTTTTGGAAAGTCCACAATAGAAATATTGTCATGTTTTTTTAAGATGAGAATGTAACAAGATAGAAAAGTGTATATTGTATGTAACAAGATAGAAAAGTGTGTATTACACAATTGTATTATCATTATATATAAAACGAAAGAACCACTAAAAAATTTTGATTCATTTCCTAGTCCTTCTCTCTATTGAGGCATTGTTGGTGCACTCCAATACATTAGGCCAAACCTTTCCTATAGTGTTAATATAACGTGTTAATTTATGCACGCCCTACAATTGCATATTTTCAGGCAATTAAGCGAATTCTTTGTATCTTAATGGTACACAATATTATAGTTTAATAATATTATCTGTTTATTCCCCTGAGTTATATGCCTTCCCTAATGCAGATTGGGCTGGTGTCCAACCATTCGTCATTCGACTACTAGCTTCTGTACTTATCTTGATTCCAACTGCATATCTTGGAGTGCTAAGAAACAATCGACTATAGCTCGAAATACCGATCTATAGCATCCATTGTTGCAGAATTAAAATGGTTTTATTTTATTCTTCGGGATATTAAGTTACCCCTTCCTCAGCCACCAATACTTTTTTGTGACAATATTAGCGCTCTTTATATGACAGTTAATCTTGTTTTTAATGCATGGACAAAGCACCTTGAGTTAGACTAACGTTTGTGCGTGAAGAGTTTGTTCTTGGTTTACTTATCACTCATTTAGTTTCCTCTCGCAATCAAGCAGCCTATATATTCACCACGCATTTGCCGCGAGATGTTTTTCGAGATATGTGCTTCAAATGCCTCCTCAGCCGAGTTTGAGGGGGAGTAATAGAGACAATATTCAATTCCAGTTTTTGGAAATCCCACAATAAAAATATTGTCTTTTCATTTTGAGAAGAGAATGTAACCGGATGGGAAAATGTAGATAGAAAAATGTGTATTGCACAATTGTATTACCTTTATATATACAATGAAAGAACCACCACAAAATTGAATATTGTTTCTATTATATATAAATGTTCACACAAATAAAAGGACTTGTTAAAACATAATAGAAAGTTACTCTATTTTGGATAACTAAGTACCGAATAAATGCAACAAATACATGCTACCAGGACCCCCATTTTTACAGAGATGTTGTCCTAGTTTTCTTCATATCATAGGGGCCTTCTTAATCTCAACACCTTCCACACCTCAACACATCTGAATCAACTAACTAACCATACAATTACCCTTCAGTTGTACTCAAACACCTCAAGGGTCCTCAATAACAGAGGCCTATCCACGTTTACTACGCCTTCCAGGACACGGACCACCTGTTCCATGGTCGGCCTAGATCCCTCCTCCTCTTGCACACACCAACCTGCCACCCTACAAGCACGAGCTACCTCCTCCACATCAGCGACACCCTTAAGCCTAGGGTCCAACATTGCCAGATCCTTGCCATCCATCATTTTCACCAACACTTCAGCAGGGAAGAAGAAACCTCTTTCCCAGTCTGCATTTCTCCTACCTGAGATAAGTTCTAGCAATGTCATTCCATAACTATATACATCTGCTTTGGTGGTTATGGCCTCATCAGAAAGCCACTCTGGTGCTAGATACCCAATGCTTCCTCTAATGGTAGTTAAAACACGGCTGAATTCCCGACTCATTAGCTTTGCTAACCCGAAATCCGTCAACTTTGGGCTGAAGTCATGGTCCAAAAGTATGTTTCCCGGCTTGATGTCACAATGTATTATGCACTCTCTGCAATTTCCATGTAAATAAGCTATCCCTCTAGCCGTTCCAAGTGCGATATTGTATCTTGTTTTCCAGCTCAAACAGTCAGGACCTTCTCGAAATAAATGAAAATTCAAGGAACTATTGGACATATATTCATACACCAATAATCTCCTAGATCCTTGTGCGCAGAATCCTCGTAGTTGGATCAAGTTGATGTGTTGTATTGTTCCGATGGTGGACACCTCTGCTCTGAATTGCTTCTCTCCTTGACTATGTCCCTCTAGCCTCTTAATGGCAACATGCGTCCCATCACTCAGATAGCCTATAAACACTGAACCAAAACTCCCACCTCCAATTTTCTGCGAGAAGTTCTTAGTTGCACTTTTCAAATCTTTGTAATTGAATATCATTAGTGACCCGTCCATCTCGGTCCTTCTTGGAGCCAGTTTCATCCACAGATAACAGAGCACACAGCTATGATCTTTGGTAATTTTTTGTTCTCGTTTCTACTAGAATTAGGAAACAGATCAGAAGAAGCAGCCCGAATGTAAAGCTTGTATGTTGTCTCCTCTTCTTTTAGATTCAGAATATCTCCAGTATATGTGTAGCAAGTGTCACTGCCAGAATTCTGTGCATAAGCAGTGCAAGAACAGTTTGCCAAACACCAAGCCTCACAATCTTTGGTATCCACAACTGTCGATGGAATCGATTTTTCCCATACTTCTGTTGTATTAATTGGCCAAAACCCATCTCTCTCGCCATTGCGGAAGCCACACTGCGACTTGGTCTTTCTAACACACCCTCCAAACCACTCACCCAAATTCCATTTATGAGGAAACTTGGGTTCAAAACCAGGGATGCAGCTGCAAAAGGGTAATTTTTGGCTGCAGCTTGCGAAGGGTCCACAAATGGCATAGATATCACAGGGGTCTCTAGGCAGTGACACAAATAGGTTCCACGTTTGTTTCTGCTCATTCAACGAATACTGCCGGATCAGCCCAGTTACATCCATCACAAACCGTAAGATGGTGGTATTATCATAGCAGGAGTAATTATAGTAGCTCTCATTCTCGTTATCAATGAAGCTGAAATTGTAAATGTAATTCAATCTCATCTCTGGGACTGCACTGAAGATGTGCCCATCCCACTCCCCAGAACTCCAATACCTTTTGCTTCCATTCCAATATGCAAGATACTGTTTAGTTCCATTCGGGTCGAGTCCGAGGGAGAAGAGCCCAGGTGATGGGTCCTCTGAATTCCTCCAAGATTTGAGCAATTGGTTTTGCCTAGTCTTCTTGTTCAATCCCATCTTTCCTCCTGGTAACCATGTATCCGTGGGATGATCAAAACTCTGCCACATAACTCTTGAAGATCCAGCCTCCTTTAGAACCAGATTCCCATTGTCTAATAAAACAGCAGAGGAGGAATTTGCAGCTCCAGATGTGGAACTCAAATCGGTGGACCAAATTGGGACTTGGGTTTTGTTCAAGAGGACTAAGTTTCCATTCCCTGAAATTTTGAGTTCAGATGAGGTGTCCGGCAATGGTGTTTCACGGTTAGCTACCCATACAACAGTTTGGACATGAATTTCTTTGTACCAGATGCCTATATACCAGGATTGCAACTTATCTGGGCTGAGTTCAAAGACACCACCTTTAGAGACTACGGTTTGGTTTCGTTTAAGAGATTTGTCTATAGAGATGGTATCTAAAGCAAAGCCAGAGCAAGAACCAGAACCAGAACCAGAACCCGAACCAGAACCAGAACCCGAACCAGAAACAGAAAGAGAAATCGCTAACAGTGATAAAATAACAGGAAAGAAACGAACTTGGAATTTGCAACCCATTGCACCTGGTTTTCACTGGCACCCACTTTAGAATGGAGGTTTAGTTGATAGTTAGCAATGCATATAATGAAACTCAAAAGTGGGAGGTTTGCAAGGGTGAAGACTTTCTTGAAAGTCTTCATGCTGGGTTCTGTAGATTGAGATGAAAAGGGATTGCTGAAAAGGAATTAGTGATTGTTTTTTATGAATATATGGACTCAATGGGTGTGGAATTTAGAGAGAGAGAGAGAGAGAGAGAGAGAGAGAGAGAGAAGTAACTACACTA